TCCAGAAAGCTGGGACTGGAAGCACCTTTTGACCCAGCTATTCTACTTCTAGGCATATTCACAGAACTGAAAGCATCATTCCATAGTGATATATGTGCACCCATTTTTATAGCAGCATAGTTTGTAATATCCAGATCTTGGAAACAACCTAAGTGTTCATCAACTGAGGAATGGATTAAAAAGTTATGGTGTTTTTATACAATGGAGTACTACTCAGCTATAAAGAATTATCACATTGTCATATAAATAAATGGACACAGCTTGAGACCATATTCAGAAGTGAAATAAATCAAACTCAAATGTATAAATACTGAATATATTCCTAGTATAAGAAATGATAATACATAGAAGTATGTGGTAATCATGATACCCAATCATATTGGTTTGAATCCATATAATGTTTTTACTCATTAAGTGCAATGGTTTTATCCTGGGTTTCTTGATTTTAGTATCGAGGATAGTGCGAATAGCTATTCTGAAGAAAATAACACATCATAAAAGCTAGTGCTGATTTAATATCTTCTTTGGAACTCCCATCAAGCTGTTGTACATATTTCCACTAGTTTTACCATGTTGTGTCTTAATATATTTTACTGTATGTGATAGTATAAATAAAAATTTTTACAGGCAAAGAGATAATATAGAAATCGTTGTTCATTTTCTGTTAACTGGCTCTAAATACCCTGTAATTCTTTCATACCCTTGAATGGCTTCACACTGTCTTGATATGATTGATTCTATAGTATACGAAGTTATACTCAAATAATTCAAGGAAAAAGGCACTATGGTGACTAGTATTATGTTAGATTATCTGGTGGTGAAACAAAATGATGCTTTACTTGTTCAGTTCTGACCTGTGTTGTTCTATTACAATGTCTTTTTTATCTCGATATCCACCCTTTTTAAAAAAAATATACTATTTTTTATTTTTTTCTATTAAAGGAAAACTAAATTAAAAAATAGCAGGATATATTATAGTAACTATTTGCTTTCCTATTAACCTGATTTGAACCCCAGTATTGCTCTCCCCATCTTGTTCTGCCTCATTTTACTATATTCTATTTTGTTTGATAGTATCAAGTTTGAGGGTAGAGGCAACCACTTTGTAGGCAATAAGATTTAATATGATGCCCATTATGATTTGACTATTATCTTCTTTTGAAATCCTGTAAGGTCTCCAGTGTAGATTTTATTGGTCTTGTTCTCTACTGTTTTGATCAGTTCTATTATAACTGATGATATAGCAACTCTTTTGAGGCACAATGGTAACCATTTTTGATCAGCTGATATTCTATTTTTGATTCAAATACTATGCCCATCCTTATGTTCTAACCAAATCTGTTTTGTTAACTCACTTGAGGTTTTATTCTCTTCAAAAAAAAGTAATAAGAACTATGGGAGTAAAAAAAACTCAAAAGTGTAATTCTTATTGTGAAGAAGAGAGGAAACGAAGGTGGTCTAAAGGATATAAGTGCCTGTTGGAGTGTGTAGGAAGGAAAACCATATTACTGAGCTTTTGTTGGATCATTGAACAGAACTGTCTGCAATCTCGCTATAGGAATGTTCACTTTAGATGCTTTAATTTTATAATTTGGACAACTGTTTCAAAGAAGACAATATATAACCTATTAACTAGTGATTTCTTACTGTATTTTGTTTCTTGAAATTCTGTATTATTTGTACCCTTTTACTGCTTTGTTTTTTTATGTTCTTTTTTTTTCTCTTTAAATAAAAAAATTAAACCTGGAATTTATATCTTTTATTTATTTAATTTTTTTTTCTTGGTACTGGGGATCAAACTGGAAAGCTCACACTTGCCAGGCAGGGGCTTAAGCCACTGAGCTAAATCCCCAGCCCCACAATATATATCTGTCACATTTTATCATCTTCAGAGTAGTTGCCTCTACTGTTGGACTTGATACCAGCAAGCATACCAAATGTGAATAAAATCAGTCAAGGCCAAATAACATTCAAACAAACAAGCTTCAAATAACATCAGTCATAGTAAGACAGTGTAACTAATATAGAGTTTCAGTTTTAGTTAATAGAAAATTAAGGACAGATACCATCATAGTATAACCTTCTATTTTTGGGTTATCTCTCTGTGCCCTCAAATCTAAGGAGTAGACAGACCACAACAAAATATAATCAAACTAAACAGAGCAACAGAACTACTGTAGCTTTTAAATCCTGATTCACTTTTAACAATGTCCTCTGCCTTCTTTTTTTAGGCAATTCCTCACCTTTCTCCTTCTAAGGATACTATTATTCACTGTTCAGAGTGATATTGGTTTAGTCTCTTATGTTCAATTTCAGCATACATAAAAATAAAGACGTCAACTACGAACAGAATGAATGAGACACATTATGGTAATCATTACCAACTTCCCCAAAATCAGTCTTGAAGATCAAAAAAGGGTGCATCATCCTGTAATTATTTGATTAGTTCTATAATGTTCAGTATATATTCAATGCATGTGAAGATGGGAACAAATATTTTGAAGAAAACTAGAGACAGTAAGATAGAAAATGAACATCTCAGTGGACTTGATGTGAAACCTGTGTTTCCTTAACTTATTTCCTTGTGAACTGTTCTGTTTTGTCATGTTTAGTCTTACCATCTTTAAGATAAAAAACAAGTCTGTACAACAGATAAGCATATTAATAAGTTCCTGTTGGATCATGGAGGTGAACTGTTCACAGTGTCATTATTTGAATATCACTTTGTATGCTTTAATTTTGTGACTTGAACAATTACTTCTAAGATAACAATATGTAACTAATCAACTAGTGATTTCTTATTGTTTATTTTTCAGAACTTCTGTATTATTTCTACACTTTTGGTTTTTTTTTCTTTAAATAAAAATAATTCATCAAAAATATAAAAATTAAGTTTTAAAGACAAAATATTAAGTACATAGACACTATTCATACTTGAAAGTGAAAAGCCCATTTCAGTTTACCATGTTTAATTACAAGATGCCATGCTGAAGCACACAGACACTTTAAAAAATCTAAAGAGGTATAAGTGATTAACTGAAAACCATAAAAAATATGTACTTGAGTAGAGCTCCACTTCAGATTTGTCATTTCTGGAAAATTTGTGAAGAAATATTGACATCAAACTTCTGTATTGATTATTTCTTCAGGTCTATTTGGAATTTTTAAACTAAACTTAGATCTAAACTGTCTGAAGAGTGCTGCTTTTTCTATGTATTTAACAACAAAAATGGATTGCCGTATTTCTCACGTTGTTAATACACATAGGATCCAGTGAGCTCTTTCAGATATGCAGCAATGATCATGTGTGCTGAGATAAATACATAACACATAGGATTTATCTCTTGTGTGAATTTCTTCACATATTTTACTTACAACCTGGCTGCTGAAAGTGTCTCCACTAGCTTATGTAGACAGTGGTTCTACTGAGTGTGAATTGTTTCATGTGTTTTGCAATAACTGTGTGTGGTAAAAGCTTTGCCACATTGTTATATGCATAGGGTTTCTCACCAGTGTGGAGTCATTGATGTATTTTACAAAATCCATGTGTGGTGAAAGCTTTCCCACATTCTTCACATAAACAGGGTTTCTCAACAGTGTAAATTTTTTCATGTATTGGACAATGAGCATTCCTGCTGAAACCGTTCCCACATTCCTTACATATATAAGTTTTCTTCCCAGTGTGAAGTTTTTCATGCATTATGCAATATGTACTTGTGCTCAAAAAATTCATGATGCTTACATGCACTGTTTTTTTCTTGAGTGTGAACTTTCATGTTGCTTACAACTTCCCTGTTGGGTAAAAGCTTTCCCACACTGCTTACATATATAGGGTTTCTCGCCAGTGTGAATTCTTTCATGTTGCTTACAATGTCCATGTGTGGTAAAACCTTTCCCACATTGCTTACATACATAGGGTTTCTCTCCAGTGTGAATTCTTTCATGTTTCTTAAAATATCCCTGTGTGTTAAAAGCTTTCCCACATTGCCTACATACATAGGGTTTCTCTCCAGTGTGAATTCTTTCATGTATTTTACAATTTCCCCGTGTGTTAAAAGCTTTACCACATTGCTTACATACATATGGTTTCACTCCAGTGTGAATTATTTCATGTGCCTTACAATGCCCATGTGTGGTAAAAGCTTTCCCACATTGCTTACATACATAGGGTTTCTCTCCTGTGTGAATTCTTTCATGTTGCTTAAAATACCCCCGTGTGTTAAAAGCTTTCCAACATTGCCTACATACATATGGTTTCACTCCAGTGTGAATTATTTCATGTGCCTTAAAATGTTCATGTGTGCTAAAAGCTTTCCCACATTGCTTACATACATAAAGTTTCTCTCTAGTGTGAATTCTTACATGAACCTTACAATGTGCACGTGTTTTAAAAGCTTTCCCACATTGCTCACATACATATGGTTTCTCGCCAGTGTGAATTCTTTCATGTTGCTTACAATTTCCATGTCGGGTAAAACGTTTCCCACATTGCTTACATACATAGGGTTTCTCTCCAGTGTGAATTCTTTCATGATTCTTAAAATCTCCCTGTGTGTAAAAAGCTTTCCCACATTGCTTACATACATAAGGTTTCTCTCCAGTGTGAAATCTTTCATGTTTTTCACAATCTGCATGTTTGTTAAAAGCTTTCCCACACTGCTTACATACATATGGTTTCTCTCCAGTGTGAATTCTTTCATGTGTTTTACAATTTCCCCGTGTGTTAAAAGCTTTACCACATTGCTTACATATATATGGTTTCACTCCAGTGTGAATTATTTCATGTGCCTTACAATGTCCATGTGTGGTAAAAGCTTTCCCACATTGCTTACATACATAGGGTTTCTCTCCAGTGTGAATTCTTTCATGTTGCTTACAATGTCCAGATTTGGTGAAACCTTTTCCACATTGTTGACATATATAGGGTTTCCCTCCACTGCAATATTTTTCATGGATCTGAACATTGTGGTGTGTTTCTGCTTCTTTCACATTCACATTACCTTCTGCAGTACAAAGGAATACTTCTCTACACTGATTCCAAGATGTATGTCCACAGGATTTCCCTAGCTTTTCATTTCTGTTAAAAAAAAATACCACATATAGGATTGATAACTATATTACTAAGTTTTTATGGGAGAGTTGAACAAAACTGTTTGCAGTCTTGCTGTTTGAATCCCACTTCATATGTTTCACTTTTGTATTTCATTAACTATTTCTATGAGCAGCATATGTAATCACTGTCTTTAGATTTCTTACTGATTATTTTCATTTTGAAAGCAGTATCATTTCTACTTACTTTGTTCTTTTTTACTCTTTCTTTACATTAAATAAAAAAATAAGAAACATTCACAGTGAAATGGGTCTCAGTTTAATGACTGCATTAATATCAAGTTTTGTTTTTAATGCCTGCTAAGAAATTCGGACCATGAAATAACAGAATGGCCTTGTAAGACATGTTGAAACCAACCATTCCCAAAAGAATAATACACATGTAGAAATCTTAAAATTTGGTACCTTTTCAAATGCAGAATCTTTAGCTTCACTTTGGGCAAGGGTACATATGTGTATCACATACAGATCATTCTGATATGTTTCCCCATCACAATCTCCCTTCTGTGCTTAACCTGTAGTTCCCTTTTCCATATGGTCAGTCTTACCTTTCTGTATTAACTTTCTTTCATTTCATTCCACAATTTATATTTTGGTTTCTCATCTAAAAGAAATCCTGTGACCTTTTAGGTTTTATAGCTGAGCTATTTCACCGAATTGATGGGAGAAAGCACCACCTATTTCTTATGGCAAATGACATTATATTATTTATTTTTTGACATTATATAACACATTTTTTTTCTTTTCCATGTTGGGAATGAACAAAAGCTATTAGCATAAAATCTATAACTTTTTAAATCTGTTTTAAGACATTTTCACTGATCATTAAGCTGTGATGTTTGAACTTGAATTTGCCATTCTGCAAAATCTGATTCCTAGTGTGCTGGATTTACAAGAATGCACAATCACAGAGACTCTATTAACATTTTCCTTCTCCACAAATCCAGTGATAGATAGCTAAGCTTCTTCAAGGCCTGATCTATTATAACTTGATCTGCTTTGTATATGAGCAAGCATGTATCAGTATTTTATGTGGATTTTGAATTTTTAAAAATATATCCAGGACAAGTATGAGGGGATCAATTTCTAGAGACAACTGCACACTGATATTCAGAACGAGTGCACTTAACATTCCACCAGCCTTCTAAGAATTTTAGTCAGAATGGCTGATTCTTTAGAGCATGGCTTGGAAACACAAGCACTCTGTTTTATTTCAAATTCTATTGTAATCTTAATAATTTTTAGATAATGCATGTATTGTATTCACATGCATATATGGGTAGAAAAACTGAAGGGAGAATGTCATAACTCAAAGTGTATGCCTTTCGTACACATCTATATGCAATGACATACATTTTTATGATTTAATCCACTCATTATACATACCCTAGCTTATATGTCTTCGGAGAATATTACTGACAATAAATTGAATGGTGCCTCATTTCTTTGGCGGCATTTTTCTGCTGACTCACTAATTACTCAGGAACATTCCTTCTCCTTATGAGCGCGAATTACCTTAAGTATCTCCAGTAAATTTTGCATTCTTTTTCAGCTTCCTGGATATCCACAAGTCCTCCTGAATTGTAGACATACAAATACCAGCACCCATTAGAATAATATACACAAATTAATAGATTTTGTTTAGAGTTATGATTTAATGTGCCCAGGTCTGAGCTATTTTTAAAAATATTTTCACATTGTTTTTAATGAAACAGCACTGATGAGCGACATACAATATTCTGACAGCATGAATGACAAAAGTATTTTGTCCTTACCTATTGCAGTCATGTTCCTAAAGGTTTCACCCATCACATCTCTGTAGAGGTTCTTTTGGGATAGACTCAGCAAAGTCCACTCCTCATTGCTGAAATTCACAACCACATCCTCCAAGGTCACCACCTCCTAAAGCATCATACATATATTTCTCACACAAAGGTTGAGACACCAGGTTTTGGGAAATCTTATATTCTCTCCTACAAATTTGAATCAAAAGCAAAGTGTGGTGGTATATATCTATAATTCCAGCACTCAAAATGCTGAGGCAGGATGGTTTCAGTGAGTTCAGGGCAATTCTAGGCTCCACAGGATATTCAAATCTAGCTGATATACATACAGAAAGCTTGTCTCAATAAAACAAAACAAAAGTAAACAAATACAACCAAACAAAACAGCTGAATGAAGACTGATTTCTTCAAATTTAAATCCATGTCTTGGTCATTAATTTTGTGTATATGCACATTTTTGAAGACAGCAAATTTGATGATAGATTGCAACTCACTGCTAATGTAAGAGTGAAATAGGAGCACTGATTCTTGTGCTGAGTCACTGCAATAGTCCCTGTGTTCTGTCTCTAATGCAGAGCTCACAGTGAGAAGCCTGCAGGACCAGCATCCACAAAGCACAGAAGCAGATAAATATCCCATCAATCAAATGGGAATCCAAACAAGCACCTCCCTTCCCTGGTACGTGGTGATGATGTGCCAGACTGTGGCCTATCCAGGGGGAAACCAGCAGCAGCTCCTGAGATCCATGCCATGCTGCAATTTAGGACACTTGGAAGGCAAGCAAGCACCACTTCTCCCTGGTAAGCGGTGGCGGTCTCGCAGAATGTGGCCCTTCCAGGGGGAGAATCAGCAGCAGCTCCTGAGATCCACGCCAAGTGGGAACTTAGGACGCTGTGAAACCAAACAACTGGCCTGTCTCCCTACTAAGCAATAGTGAACCTACTGATGCATGGCCTAGAATCAAACATCCCACTTCCCTACCCCTCTTCTCCTGTCAACCCCCATTAGCAAATGGGAACCAGAAATCTGAGCGTCTCCTGGGAAGCAGACCATAAAAAATAAGGGGGCCTTCCTTGTACTATCTCTTTGGAGGCAAATATTTTTATTACTGTTTTGCTCTATTCTGATTAATGGTATTGCTCTATTCAATATTCTGTTTTGATAAGTACTATAATGTTCTGTATTTCATCTCATTTTGATATATGTGTTTGAAAGAACAACTATTGGGGCTGGGGATTTAGCTCAGCGGCATAAGCACCTGCCTTGCAAGAAGACAGTCGTGGGTTCGATCCCCGGTACTGATAAAAAGGAAAAAGACAAAAAAAAAAACTATTATAAAGATAATAAAGTATACTGTGATACCTATTACTGTTATCGCAGTAACCAGTTGTGAAGTTGTGTACCATTTTCACTGTATGATCTTAGTTGGCCTTATTCTGCCTTGTTCTGTTGTATTTTACCACTTTCAAAATTAACAAAAAGAAAAAAAATCTCATCAATCACTTTGATAGGCTATAGATAATGTCTCTTCAAATCTCATTTAGGCCAGTGAATACTTTGTTCTTAATATACTTCAACAGCATTTTGAAACATGAATTTGGTTTCATAGAACAAAACATAAATAACATCCAATATGGTACACAAATAATAACTCAAATGTTAGTGAAAAATGCTGTTTGTAAAAAATAAGTATATAAAAGGGAATGAGGCCCAAGCTGTAATTTATAGCTCACTGTCACGAAGCGTTCACTTTCAATTCACATATAAGAAATATGTCCTGTGAGGCTGGTGAAGGACTTCTTCCTTGAATTTGGGGCTATCCTAAGTTACAGAGCTGTCTAACATAGAGAAACCCTGACTGTGACACCCCACAGACAAAGTGAAACTTGAAAAGAGACTGCATAAGACACCTTTGGTTTGTTTTTAAAAATTATAGCCATACAATATGGAAAAATTCCAAAAATATTCACACTTTATGAGAAACAATGTGGATATCTGCCATACAACAAAGAAAACACTTTCATAGTTGGGTATTTAGCTCAGTGGCATGAACGCCTGCCTGGAAAGCATAGGTCATGAGTTCGATCCTTGGTACAAAAAAAGATCCACATTTTACCTTCATGACACTGGGGCATAATTAGACATAATCCAAGTTAGATCTCAAGTATGGAACAGAAAATTCATGGGTTTACAAGGATGTGAAACACTAATTGTTGCCAGAGCTGGTTTTGATCACCTCAAGGAAGCAATCAGAACCCAACTTTAACTTCACACTTACTCTAAGAACTACCTGAATTTCAGTGAAGACCCTCTCTGTTGTATGCCCTGCTATTGGCTTCCTGCATTCTGTCAGTCACTTGTACATCCTTTCCACGCTACTCTGATCCATCCTCTGCAGGAAACCCTTAATGCCTAACTATTGATATCACTGCAAAATTTAGAGCTTGTCCTTTACACCACTTAGTAAATTCCATTGCAGAGCATTTCCATATTTAACTGTCTGTGAACAACCAAGCCACTAAATCAGCTCTTAATTCAGAGATGACGCACCTATTCCTTTCCACTCAGAAGGATATCACGTGTATATGTCCATGCACATGCCTAAATTTCACCATTTTTTGATGAGAATTTAACAGGTAACCCTTTCAGGAATTTGTCCTTCACAAATTTTTACCCTGTCCTTGATAACACTTTCATATTTGCTTCATTTTTCTCAGACTTCAAAACCCTATGGCTGTTCTCACAAACCTAGTCTGGGAGCAGGAATGCCACATAAATAACTAAGTATGTTCAGAAATTATTTTGCACTGATCCGTATAATACACAAGAGTTCATCACTTGTTTGGGAAGCCTTTTTCCACTGAGGCACACTACTACACATCTCTGAATTCTCAGGACCTTTGCCACTACCTGTCATGAGGATGGAAATATGAGAACATATTATAAATTGAGGAGATCACTACAAATACAAAAAAACCCAAGTTTAAGTTGAGCCATTGTGGCTATGAGGCCCTGCATTACAGATATTACTAAACTTTGGACATTCCAGATCTGTGACTCTGAGGAAAGAGAGCAGAGACCTAGCTCATTACTGCTCTACAAGCTACAAAAAGTATCATAGTCAGGGTCTTCTCAAGCTCCTTCCAATGCCTAAGATTGTGGAGTTACGAGGCCAGCAGTGAATTTCAAAGATGATACTTGAGTCTGCTGCTGTCATAGTGAAGCCAGGGTTCTGGGGACCCCAAATCACCCTTGCCAACAGCAAGAGGCAAAAGGGACAGTGAATGACCCATGGACAATGCTGGAGGACCTCAGGAGCTGAAGCTAACTAAATACCTGAGGCTCCAGACACCGGAATTACTTCTAAATACTTGTAACTGGTTTCACCCAATCCACCCTATCTCTGGCCTCCCATCCACAACCTCGCCATTCCATGGCTCCAGGATCTCTCAGGTTCTTTGCTAATCAGGCCACAGGACATCAAAAGTACTAAATGAGATGCAGCAAGCGTTTTGCTACCAGTATCCTACTCAGAAAAGGTAAATCATGCTGAGACACTGGAAGAGACAAAAGTCACAGCCAGCAATGGCCTGAAAATTGGACACTTCATATAGCCTGCCCCTTCATCACTGATTGACTCCTGCTCTACTGCTCTCCTTCTGAGTCAAGAATCAACAGGGAAAGGAACCCCTCCCTGCAAGAGAGGATCTCAAAAGATAGACTGTAGAGCAGGGACTTCTGGAGCTGCCATTCTTCTACAGTGGTGAACTCAGCTCGACCAGAGGAGTGTTTGTACTGAAGAGCTTTACCTCAGTCTTATAATTTTCAAATCCATTTTATTTCAATGAAAAAAGAACACATCAACTAAAATTAAATTTCAAAACATGTCAATCGGGGGTAACACTTGACTATACATTGCACACTGTAATCCCCAGATCATTCACCCAGAGCACAAGACATCTGTAATCAATTATCCAAACAGTACTGTTACAGGCACCTAAGTTAGTTAAATAGTATTGGCATAAGGCAGGGCTAGGTCCTCCAAGGAGTCCATGCAGGAGACCAGATACCATGCAACTATGGGGAAGACTGACACGTCATGCTATGGGCCAAGTATCAAGACAAATGATAAGCAAATTCATCCATATCCTAAAGACTGATATTCTAAATAGTGCCTTAGCACTCTGAGGAGGTCAGGAGTCACCATTCAAAGAAAAGTATGCTTATTCTAAGGACTGACATTTTAAATATCTCCTATCATCCTGATGAACTCAGGTGTCACCCTCCCATAACCCTAAGGGAAAAGTCACAGCTGCCTAAGAATGCCTGCTTCCTATGTGACTCCCTTCCCCTTTGTTCCCAATTTAATCAACTTTTACATGAACTTATAATCTTATTGGCTACCATAGCTCTGTCCCATCTTATGCCCATCTGCATTGTGAGTTCCGATTTTTCCCCACCTTAAACTCAGCTTACTACATGATTTTACTCTACAAAGTTCCCTAGAAAGACAGTGTTTGGCATCCCGCTCAGGACCCCTTCTCTCTCTCAGGTGGCTTTCTTTCTCTCAAGAAGTATATTGTGCTCTTAATTTCTGTTGTTCCTAAAATTCATTCTTTCACTTTAGAGAACCCAAACTCATACCACACCTAGAAGGTCAGGAATTTCATTCCACTATATCAGGGTATGGTTGCCTCTATTTCTAATTAAATCAGCTGCCTGTAAATTTAAGAATTGTTTATCAATTTGACTTGGAGTAACTGTAGCAAATAAAATGTTCTTAATGAATATATGGATATATATCATTAAAATGAAAAAACGATTACCACAGTTTTTCTACCTAGCACCAGCCAACATTTTCAACTTTCAAGTATGTGGGAAAACAAAAAATAAAACCAACTCAGAAAATAGCAATCCTATAAGGGACAGTATATCATTCACTGTAATACCCATGTTATTGGCAGGTATTTCATAGGTCACAAAAGAAACATTGAGCCTATTAAATACCAAGTATCAGTTTCAATAAATGTGCTCATAGCACTGCATCGTTGACAATTGTGATTTTTTTTTCTGTATGAGGGATTGAACTCGTGACCTTGTGCTCTCCAGGAAGCTCCTTGTATCCTTGAGTTCAATCTCCAGACCCAACTACTTTAGATCTAAATATGACTATTAACAATGTTTAATTTGCCATTGACATATTTAGTTATAAATTTTGTAAATATTAATTTTCACAAATGAAATTATTTTCTTTCCTTGCAGTTTAAATTACTTTTTTTTTTTAGGTACCGGGCATCAAAGCTACAACCTAGCACTATCCAGGCAGGTGTTTCTGCCTCCGAAGATAAATCCCTGGCCTGTATTAATGAATATTTCACTTTATTCATTCAAATAGAACTGTGATTTTAGCAAAGGATATCAATGTAGAGAGAAATTGATATACAATGAGAGAGGAACTGGAACCTCAAATAGTTAATGCAAAAAACTAAGTACAACAATCACTGCTACAGGCACAGCTGAAGAAAGCCAGACCTGAAGGTGAAGATGAAGTGACCAGGTCTACATGGTCCTGAAGAGAAAAACAACAGTTTGCAATGTACTACAGTTACCACCACCTCCTCCAGGAAGTTCAGATGGGCATCAATTACCATACTCAATGACCAGAACACCTGGACTATTGTTCCCACAAAATGCCTTGGCTCTTTCCACAGACCTTTTCTGGCTGACTTGTTCCCCTGTTGAATATTATTAGTTAAGCAGCTATAAGCTTATAGGTTGATTGTAGTCTGAGACCCACACTGTACTCACATTGTGACTTTCCTGTATAAATGACCCCTGAGAATAGGTCTGGGCCAAAAACCCAAAGACCACTCCTGAAAAATCAGGGCCATTCTTCTTTCTTTGTTTCTAAGAAAATTTTTGAACTTCTTTTGGTTTATGACTTCATTTCTCAATGTTGTGAGCCATTAAACTTGCTGCATTTGATATCAAACAGGGCAGGATTATATTTCTCTTATTTCAATTTAAATATGAAATGTCTGCTAAAGGCCATGTTCCAAAGCCAGAATTTCAAGCTGCTTGTTTGCCCTGAGTTTAACATTTCCATGAGCTTTTAGAAGTCCTCAGTCTAGTGAACTGCAAATGTATTGGAGGAAGGAGGTCACTGTTGTCCTGTAGCACAATAGGTGCCATTCCTAAGTCAGTGTTAGTCCCTGCCTCCTGGATGCCACTACATGGACTTCTTTCCTCTGCAACATCATTCAATAATTCCCATTTTTCATAACTCAAATTTCACTCAGCTCTATTATTGTTCGTTTTTAATAATTTTTCTGTCTACTGGGTTTTTTTTTTTTTTTCATTTTAGTTTTTGATTTAAAGACATAGTCTCACTTTGGAGTTTGGGAAGCCTTGCACTCACAATGTAGGTTAGGTGTCTTTGAATATATGGCCATTCTCCTGTTTCAGTTTCTTCATTGCTGGGGAAAAGAGGTGGGCATTATAGCACATGATGTTTGTCTTTTTTCTCTTATCATTTTCACTACTATTCTTTCATTTCAGGGGCACTGTTATTTAATCCTGAGGTTTGCTTGTGTCAGTAAGGTTTCTGCAGCTTGAGCTGATTTTGTGAACAATAATATAGGAAGCCAAGCAACCCAATTGAGAAATGTGGAATTTCATTAGCTGCTCTCAGCACCACTTGTATACAGAACCCCCACCCCCATTTCAGGATCTAAACAAGAGGCTCTGAACTGGAAAGTTAGAGATGTTTTAAAAGATAGAATCACCAAAAGATAGTTGGAAATCATTTAGCTAGAATCTTATAATAATTTTTGGATAACAACTGTATTCTGCTTCTTTTGTTGAGCACGTTAATTTTTTTCTTTGGGTACAGCTCATTTTGCTTTTCTCCTGGGACTTATACCCTGAGTGATTTTCCATTTTTCTGAGTGAAATACAGGGCACTAGTTAAATGCAAAGCTCAAGATGGCATCTATTAAGCCAACCTACAACACAGCTAAGTTACAAGCCTCAATATTTTCTAGGGTACAAACACACAGATCTATAATCCCAGCACTCAAGAGGTTCAGACAGGAATGCTGCTTTGAGGTTAGGGCAATTTTGTGCTCCATAAATGGTTCAAATCTAGCTGATATACATAGAGAAAACTTTTCTCAATAAAACAAAACTAAACTACACAAATAAAACCAAACAAAACAGCTGAATGGAGAGTGATTTCTTCAAATTTTATTCCACATCTTGGGGATTAATTTTTGTATATATACATTTTTGATACAGCAAATTTGATGCTATATTGCAACTCACAGCTAACATACCAGCCAAACAGGAGCACTGATTCTTTTTTTTTTTTAAAGAGGAAAAAGAGAAAAACACAAAACAAAACAAAGCGGTGTAAGGGTACACCTAATACAGAACTACAAAAAAAAAAAAAAAACATAACAGTAAGAAATCACTTGTTAGTAGATTACATATTATCATCTTGAAAATAGTTGCTCAAATCACAGTATCAAAGAATACAAGGTGGACATTCAAACAGGGAGACTGCAAACAGCTGTGTTCAATGATCCAAAAACATTGATATAGTCAGCTATTTAACACCCCTAAACACACTTGCTGTTATACCCCTTAGAGCTCTTTTTCTTTTCTTTTTTCTTTTTTTTCCCTCTCTTGCACTGATTCTTATGGTGAGTCACCGCAAGAGTCCCTGTGCACTGCCTCCAAGGCAGAGCTCATAGTGAGAGCCTGCAGGACCAGCATCCATAAAGCACAGAGGCAGACAAATATCTCATGAATCACTTTGATGTACTAACAGTAATATCTCTTCAAATCTCATTTAGGCCACTGAGTCCTTTGCTCTTAATATGCTTAAGCAGTATCTTGATATTTAAATTTGGTTTCATAGAACAAAGCATAAATAACATCAAATATGATACATAAATAATAACTCAAATGTTCATGGAAAACTGATGTATGTTAAAAATGTATAAACAATGAAATCAGGTACAAGTTTCAAATTATAGCTCAGTGTCACCAAGTGATCACTCTCCATTCAGATATAAGAAATATATCTTGGGAGGCTGATGCAGGAGAACTTCCTTGAGTTTGGGGCGAGCATAAGTTACAGAGCTGTCTGAAATATAGAAACCCTGACTGAGACACCCCACAGACAATGTGAAACTTGAAAAGTAACTGCATACGACACCTTTGGTTTGCTTTAAAAATTATATCCATACAATATAGAAAAATTCCACAATATTCAACATTTCTGAGGAACAATGTTAATATCATACATAGTGTGCAGAAAACACTTTCAGAGTGGGGTATTTAGCTCAGCAGCATGAACACCTACCTAGCAAGCTTGAGATCATGAGTTCTATCCCTGTTACAAAAAAATTCAAATTTTGCCTTCATGACACTGGGTCATAATTAGAGATAATCAAAATTAGATCTCAAGTGAAGAACAAAGAATTCATGTGTTGACAAGGATGTAGAATACTGATTCTTACCAGAGCTAGTGTTTTTCACCTCAAGGAAGAAATCATAAACCAACTTTAACTTCATGCTTACCCTAGAACTACCTGACTTTCAGGGAAGACCCTCTCTGTTGTATGTCCTGCTATTGGCACTCTGCGTCCTGACAGTCACTTCCACATCCTTTCCACTCTCATCTGATCCACCCTAAGCAGAAAACCCTTCATGACTAAACTATTGATATCCCTGCACAATTTCAATTTATGGCATCTCCTTTACACCACTTAGTAAAGTCCACTGCAGAGCATTTCCATATTTCAAAAATGTATATGATCAACCAAGCTATTAAATCACCTCTTAATTCAGAGATGACACCCACATTCCTTTACATTCAGAAGGATATCACTTGTATATGTTCATGCAAATGACTACATTTAGGCATTTTTCAGTGAGAATTTAACAGGCAGCCTTTTCTGGAATTTGTCTTAGCAAGCACACTTTACCCTGCCCTTGATGACACTTTTATATCTGCTTCATTTTTCTCAAAATTTAAACCTCTATGGCTGTTCTCCCAAACATCGTCTATGAGCACATGTGTCACATAAAGTATGTTCAGAAATTCTTTGCATTGTTCTGTATAATACACAGCAGTTCGTCCGGTGTTTGGGAAGCCTTCCTCCACTGAGGCACATCACTACACGTCTTTGAATTTTCAGAACCTTTGCCTCCACCTTTCATGAGCATGGAAATATGAGAACATCGTATAAATTCAGGCGATCACAAAATACATAAATGCATAAGTTTAAGGAGAGCAGTTGTGGCTATCAGGTCCTGCAGCACAGACATTTATAAACTTCTGGCTTTCATATCTGTTGCTGACAGGAATGAGAGCAGAGACCTAGCTTATTACAGCTGCACCCAGCTTGAAAACACATCGCAATCAGGGTCTCCTCATGACCCGTCCTGGGCCCAGACTGTTGGAGGAGCAAGGGCAGCAGGCGATTTCAAAAATGGCATTGTGGCCTGGTGGTATCACAGTGATGACAGCATTCTAGGGACCCAGAACTGTCCTGGCGCCAGCGAGAGTTAAAAGGGACAGAGGATGACTCACTCTACCACTAGTGGACCTCAGGGTCTGAGGCTAAGCACACAGGCTCTAGACAGCACAGCTGCTTCTCAACACTTGTTTTTATTTTTTTTCCTTTTCTTTTTCTTTCTTTCTTTCTTCATTTATTTTATTTATGTATTTATTTATTTTGGTCTTTTTCCTTTTTATCGGTACAGGGGATCAAACTCATGTCTGCCTGCTTTCAAGGCAGGCGCTTATGCCGCTGAGCTAAACCCCCAGCCCCTTCTCACCACTTCTAACTGGTCTCAACCCGATTCCACCCCATTTCACTGCTCCCATCCCATAACATCACCATTGCGTAGTTTGGAGGTCTCCCAGGTTCTTTCTAAGCAGTCCACAGCGAATAGAAGCAAAAAATAGTGGTCTAGCAAACATTTAGTGTTCCCTTTTGTGCCCTGGCCTTGCAATTGACGCCATGACACCGGAAGACACCGCCTACCTTGGCCCGCCTGATTGGACAGTTTTTCAGCCAGCCTCTTCATCACTGATTGGCTCCTGCTCTCCTGCCTGCCTTCCCCACCAAGAATAATTGCAGAAAATAAAACACCCTGTAACTGTGGATCCCCAATGAAAGAAGGTGGAGGCTTCTGGAGCTGGCTGTTTTCTGGAATGTTGACCTCAGCACGTCTGATGGGTATTTGCACTGAAAGTCTTTACCTCAGTCCTTGGTTTTTCTCCCAAACCCATTTTATTTGAAAGTTAAAAAGTAAAAAAAGTGGTCCAGGGATTTAGCTTAAGCACCTGCCTGGCAAGCTAGAGGTCCTGCATTCCATCCAAGATCTGGCTACCACAAACTGCTGCTATAAACGTGGGTGCACATATATCACTGTGGTATGATAATTTTTATTCTTTTGAGTAGATACCCAGAAGGAGAATAGCTGAGTTGAGTGGGAACTGTAGACCTAGTTTGTGTGCAATCTCCACACTGATTTCCACAGTGGTTGCTTTACCACCAACAATGGAGAAGGGTTCCTTTTTCCCCCACAACCTCTCCAGCATTCGTTATTGCTTCAATTCTTGACAGTAGGCATTTTTTCTGGGGCAAGGTGACATATCAGTGTTATTTACTTTGCAATTCTTAAATGACGAGTGATGCAGAACATTATATCACATATTTATTTGCTGTTTCTATTTCTTCATCTGAGAACTGTGTATTTCACCTCAGATGCACATTTTTGGATTGGGTCTTTAAATCTGGGAAGACTGAAATTTTTTAGTTTTTCATGCTCTCAATAGTAATACTTTGTCTGAGGAACAGTTGGCAAACATTTTCTCTCACGTTGTGGGTTGTCTTTTCACTCTGTTAGTTATTTCTAGCTGTTAAAAAGTTTTTCAGTAGGGTGAGATTCTCACTTAATTCTCTTCGATTTTTGCTGTTCAAAAATCGAAGTTTTCTTCATAAAGACTTTGCTTACATGAATGTCTTCAAGAGTTTTACTTACTCTATCTTGCAGCAGATTTAATGTTTCTGTTTTAATATAAGATCTTTGATCTATTCTGATCTTAGCTTAATACACATTGAAAGATAATATTCAGAATGTATGGAGCCAGTTTTTCCAGCACCATTTATTAAAGAGACTGCTTTTCTTCCAATGACTCTGTTTGGCACCTTTGTCAAAGATAAGAGGGTTTAGTGGTCTGGGATTGTTTCCCCATCTTCTAATTTGTTCCTTTGATCTTTACATCTGGTTTTTGTTTGTTTTGTTTTTTGTCAGTACCACATCTTTTTTTTTTATCACAATACCTTTATAGTACAATTTCAAGTCAGGGATTTTGATGAACCCTATCTTTCCTTTGTTGCCCAGGATCACCTTTGCTACTCTAGGTCTCTTCTGGTTCCAGATGAATTTTAGGATTTATTTTGTGTAATTCTTTCAGATATGCTATGGGGTTTTGATTGGGATTGCACTAAATCTGTACAATAGCTTTGGAAGTATGGTCATTTTCACTATATTGAATTTCCCTACCCAAGACTATGGGATAGCTCTTCATTTTCAAATATCTTCTTCAATCTCCATTTTGAGAGTACTGTAGTTTACAATGTAGAGATCATTTACATCCTTTATTAGATTGATTCCTAAGTATTTCATTTCGTTGGATGCTATTGTAAAAGTTATTGTTTCCTTGATTTCTCTTTCCATGGGTTTTTTATTCTTGTTTATGAAGTCTATTGATTGTTGAGTGTTGCCTTTGTAACCAGCTATATTACTGAATTTGCTTCTTAAACTAGAAGTCTTTTGGTGGAATTTTTAGGGTCTTCTACGTAGAGTATCATGGCTTCTGCAAATAATGACATTTTAAGCTTTTCCTTTCCTATCTTTATTCCTTTTATTTCTTTCTCTTGTCTAATTGCTCCAGCTAGTTTCCAGGACTATACTGAATAAGAGTGGAGACAGTTGTCTCCACTTGTTTTGTTCCTGATTTTAGAGTGAAAGCTTTCAGTGTTTGTCCACTTAGTATGAGGATGACTGTTGGTTTGTAATAAAAGGCTTTTATCTTGAGATAAAGATCATCTCCCCAATTTTTGTAGGTTTTTTATTATGAATAGGTGATGCACTTTGTCAAAATCTTTTTCTGCATCTATTGAAGTGATCAAATGAGTTTTGCTTTTGGATTTGTCAATACGGTGTATTATATGTATGGATTTATGTAAGTTGAACCACCCCTGAGTACCACGGAATAATTCCAGTTGATCGTGATGTAAAACCTTCTTGATGATATTCTGCAGTCTGTTTGCCAGTATCTTATTGGGGATTTTTGCTTCAATGTTCACTAGGCAGAATGGTCTGTAATTCTCTTTCTTATTTGGATTGTTCTCTGGTTTTGGTATTAGATGTAATGCTTGCTTCCAGGAATGAACTGAGAAGTACAATTTCCCATTTGATTTCATTAAATTTTGAGAAGTGATGGTGTTAGGTCTTCTCTAAATTTCTTATTTATCCCTGCCATTTCATGGCTACCCTGCTTTCTTTCAAGGATCAGTGGACTCTTTGCATAATGGGCTGCAAATGTTTTCAGGATTCACGTTCAATCCTCCAGGAATAAATGTCCACTGATGTCAGAAAATATTCTGAGAAAAGGCCAGGGCAGGACACAACAGAACAGAGAGTTGGAAGTTTCTGTTAGAGGCATCAGACTTCATTTTCATGATTTTCATTCATTTCTATTAATTTTCCACCAAGAAACCCAGTATGTGAACACAAAAGGAGCACAGTTACCATGTATAGTGAAGACATTACATTTAAATGATAGTAATGGTCTGCAACAGTGTAAGGATGAAATAAAAGCAACCATCAGTACTCCAAGACAAGCTTGCTACTCATTCAGGCTCAAAAGAATGCTGAATTCTGAAAGTGATCATATTGCCAATCATGGGGGTGACAATTATTGCTGAAATGGAACCTAATCCCATTAAACATTTCCTTCTGGTGAGGCAGGGACACCCAAGGACTTGACACTCAAAGTTCCCCTTCCCGTATAGTTCCCTTGTCACTAATTGGCACTCAGCTCTTTGTTGTACTCTACTTTAAAAAAAAAAAAAAAAACATGGCCCCATGATGAAAAAACGCGGCAAGACCCCAAGATGACGAATGGGACAAGACATCTTTTTTAAAAGAAGCACTTTTATTTGCACTGTGTGCCCAGCGACACAGTGCAAATGGAATTTGCAAAGCTGTGCAACTGAGTTAGAGTTTTGACTGATTTTTATAGTTCATTTATGATTAGCTCATTGATCAGTAAGTACATAGTGATGAGAAACAGAAATAAGGTGGGCCTTTGTTCCCCTATGCTTGAGGACAGAGGCATTTCACAGTGGGTGGTTGGCCAATTCATAGCCCTTGGTCTGCCAATTTCAGGAACATTTGTCTCTCATAAAGGGAACAGTGGTTGGCACAGCATCATTTGTCTCTTACAAGGGGAACAAAATTTGACATAGGACACAGGTCACTAATGTGGGGGGGATGACGCATTACAGAACAGCAGAATGACATGGTCAGTTAATTTATACCTATGTGGTTGGTGCTTGATTACTAGGGCAATGAGCTCAGTAGAATGATAATATTACTAATAACTATCTTTTTAAGTAACTATTTTTGTTAATTATCTTTTAATCAATTATTTTAATTTTTAGCATCTCAGTATAACACTCTTCAGGATTTTAATACTCCTAGAAGTCATATAATCCCTAAAGCCTGGTGATCCATTTGTTAACACCTTTTGGCTTCAGAAATGTGTAGGAGATTACTATGATTGCTTCTATATGTATAAACTGCAGCCATGTGTGTTAGAACCCATGAACCAAATCTGGTCTCTGGATCCTTCTTTCAGGTTCTGAAACTGTTCTCTGGCTCCTTGATCTCATAAAAAACTTACTTTTTCCTTTTCACTTTTTTCCAAGATATTTATGCTTTGGAAACAGTCACAATCAAACAACCCTCATGGAAACCCTGAGATAAAGAATATATTTATATTAAATTCTATAAGTCAGGTATTTTGTACCTGTATAAAAGTAAAGAAATATATATCTAATATAATTCGGCTAGCTGTATGTTCTGAATAATCTTCCAAATGCATCAAATCATTCTTCAACTAATTATGTAAATGAGTTTTTAATCTATGTAAACCCTAATAGTTTTTTAGCATTTACCTGTTTCAGTTTGACTCCAGCAATTCTTTGGAGATCAAAACCACTTAATTTCCTGTACAATCCATTCTGTGCCAAGCAGGCATAACTGGCATCTGGTCAGGAATTCTTGGTAAAAAACAATGAACTGCTAGAAACACTGAGACTCATGTTTCATAGTACTTAGCAAGTTGATGGAGGCCTCCGTAATTATCTACCAATTTCACTTATAAGTACTGACTTATAAAAGTTATGCAGAATACTCACAATGATGTAAAGAGGTGTATAATCATGCCTTCTGAGAAATCACTATAATACCCCTCGATATGTTAAAAAGGTAGCATATGTTGATAAGTTAGCAATATATTTGTTGATAATAACACTTCCATCTACAGGTAAAGAAAATGTACATGCAACAAAATTTTCAGGAAACTTACAGCTGGAAGGTAAGTTTTTATTGGAGCCTATTCCTAAATACCTAGCCCCCAAAGAAGTACTCAGCAAAGGACCAAAAGAATGAGAAAAGTGGCATTGTGTTGAGGGCAACATGAAGAGTGAACTCTTCAGAACTCATAACTCTGCTAACCAGCCAGCAACCTGTCACTAGGCAGCCCATATTTAATCAGAACAAGCAAGGAAGTGAGTGGACAATGGTAAAAAGCTGAGCAGGGCCCTGGGAGAGGTTCAAGGAACCCACAGAGCAACAGATGATTCTAATTAAGAAAAATTATTCAGGAAGTCTAAGTGGCCTCAGCTGTGGCCTATCTTGTTCCTTGCGGTGTCTCCTCATTCTCAATTCAATCATGCCCAGGCCACACCACAGCCCTACACATGTATTCATCTTCAACCATTTCCAACAACTCTCTCTTATTTTGTTTTGTTGACTCCCAGGATGGGTGGCCAGCTTAAGGTGGGGAAGCATTGAGGAGAACTCCAATTTAAACTCATCATAGTCCATCAGTTCCTAACAGCAGTTATTTACCAGTATAGCCAGCAATTGTCAGAGGATGTTAGCAATCCTAGCTACCCCCTCAGCCAAGCTTTTACATTGCACTATATCGTCAGAGGCCAGACTCTTCTTCAGGATGTCCAAGGCTAAGCTAACATGAGACCTGCATTAACTACTGTCTTAGTTATTTTTTACTTGTTTCTGAGACAAAATACGTGAAGCCCAAGTTGAGAAAGGAAAGGTTTATTTCTTCATTTTTTGGAGGTTTCAGTCCACACTCAGTTGGCTCCAAGGCAGGTGTACATGGCTGGGCCACATTTCATGGCAGCAGCAAACAGCAAGCAGGAACCAGCAAAAAGCAAGACACACTTTTTTCCTGCCATTTTATTACATCCTGGCTCCACCCCTATGTGGGTGTAGCACTAACACCATCAATCCACATACTACACAATGAACCATCACAAATGCATAATGCAAACTCATGAAGCCTGGCGGACTCAGGCATAAACCATGACATTCAACCCCTGGCCCCCCATGACTCATGTATATCCATTATACAAAAGGCATTTAGTCCACTTCCAAGAGTTGACAACGTCCTATGTTTCAGCATTCCTGAACAGTCCAATTCCCAAGTCTCCTCCAAGATCTAAGGCAAACTCTTAACTGTAACCCCTGTACAAATCAAACAAGGTTAAATGTTTCCCAAATGCAAAGGCACAAGGTAAACATTACCATTCCAAAAGTTACAAGAATGGGAATATAAAGTACTGGAAACAAAAGAAGTCCAGCAGGGTGAACATTAAGTCCTAGAATTCCATGTTCAGCATCAGAAGCAATCTGGTTCCAAACTCCAAAAGGCTTGGGTAATTCCACCCCCATGGCATTTCCAGCAATTTTAACTCCAGCAGCTTTTCTCTTACATCTTCTCTGCTCTCTTTTTGCAGCTTCCCTTGAATCAACCACATTCTTGCCTTTTCCAAACATCTGCAGTCTCCACCGCACCTTTGGCCTCACCCTTACGTCTTCACAAATTGCCCTCTCAGGGGCACACCTTTTGGCCTCCCAGGCACTTTGCAATTGAGGTGGATGCCATCTTGCCTCAGAATTTGTGCATTTTCCTTGCACCTAAAATCAGCACCTTGTGGATGCCACCAAGGTTTGCTGCTGACTGGAGCAGTACCTACACTTTTATGCCTATTGGCTATAGGGGTTAGTTGACTGGATTGCAGTGCTCTGTTCACATGATTGTGAGGAAAAGCTTCTCAAAGGGGCCACCATTCTGGAACCTCAAGTGGCTTCTGTTGCCATTCTAGAACATGGCACTCTGCAGCTTTTCCCTCTGAGCAAATTCTTTCACTTTTGCAGTGAGGTTGCACAGGGTGGGGACCCCCTTCCTATGATGCCCTGGGCCATCTTTCTTATCTCTCTGTTTCTCCTCAGGAATCAAAATCTCAACTCTGTCTTTGCAATCCACAGTCTTCCTGGAATTTTCCTTCTGGCCAAACTCACAGCATTGTACACTATCCTGCTGATCTCTTTGCTTTAGATATGCAACATAAATCTGGTTAAAAGCCCCCAACAATAGCCATGCCACAGCCTCAAGGTTTGATTGCTTTTTAATTTTTTTTCAAATTAATCAGTCCATTGCCCTTTGTCTCAGTCTCAGCAAAGTCTCTGGGCAGTAGCAAAATGCAGACAAACCTTCTGCCAAGCCATAACACACATCAGGTGGAGTTCAACAACCAATGCAGTCCTTCTTCCAACAGAAAACTCCCAAGCCTGGTTTTTATCATCAAGCCTTCTATCAGCCTTCTGGTCTCCTGAGCTCTGACCAGAATCCCCTCTACAGAACAGCCTAAGCTGCTCCAGCTCTACGCATCCAGGCAACATGTCCAAACCTTTCCAAACTCTGCCCACAAGCCATTTCAAAAGCCTCTCGAAAAACATGGTCAAGAATAGTCACAGCAAAAGACCCCACTCCCAGGTACCAAATTCTGTCTTAATTACTTTTTACTTGTTGCTGAGACAAAATACCTGAAGCCCAATTTCAGAAAGGAAAGATTTATTTCTTACAGTTTTTGCAGGTTTCAGTTCACACTCAGTTGGTTCCAAGGCAGGCAGGTATGGCTGGGCCACAGTTCATGGAGCCTGCAAAAAGCACACAGGAACCAGCAAAAAGCAAGATACACCTTCTTCCTGCCATTGAATTACATCCTGGCTCCACCCAATGTGGGTTTAGGACTGACACCATCAATCCGAACACTAGACAACGAACCATCATAAATGCACAATGCAAACTCATGAGGCCTGGGGGACACAGGCATAAACCATGACATTCCACCCCTGGCCCCCAGGACTCATATACATCCATTATGCAAAAGACATTTAGTCCACCTCCAAGAGTTGCCAAAAGACCTTCCTATCAAGGTCACTTAGGTCTTCTCAGGAGTTATCTTAGAACCATGCATAACACCTCATGGCTCTTCTGTCAGTGTCAGCCACTTAGAAGAGTCACAATCATTGCTTCACCACGATGCTCTCTGTGAAAGCTTGGGAGATTTTTCTCCTGTGACTCTTCTTAGGCACACCTTGCATTGAAGGTGACTTTCCTCTGTGGTTTCATCATCTCCTTGATGAGACAACTAGGGACTCACTGAATATCTTACGATGATTCAATCAGAGGTTATTTTATATCCTTGGTCTCCACCACCCTTGAAGGCCTGGGGCCAAAATATTGGCTATCCATTTAGCCCATTTGTTTCTCTAAGTTTTGGCTTCCAAACCTTAGCTGTCAAACATCCAAAAGAAGTTTTTCATAACAATACAGTATATTAGAGGCAGTAAGTGTAATATTACTATTTTATCTAAACATGAAACATCTTAGAACATTAAATGAATCCTATTGTCTTCAATCCATGGACATTTTAGCATTTGAATACCTACAGTATTAACAGTTGCATATTTTACATAATATATCAGGAATCAGAACCATACACAGTATTGCATCATGACAATCACAAGATTTTTGTAATAATCTAAATTCTTGTTTGACATAAATTATCCCTTTTAGTCAATCACCCTTATCTAATACACAAGAAGTTTTTTGTATATTATTGAAAAACTTATTGATCTTTAGTTGAATGTGAATCTCACAAGTCTTTGTTAGCAGCAAAGGTGTGCACATGAGACAAAAATCTGTTACCATAAGTAATCCCTGTTTTACAGTCATGGAGTCTTATGCATCCAGAATTATGAATATATGCAATACATCATATAGTGGATTAAAATCAACTGTCATAACCATGTGAAACCTTTATACAGGCATCATCAAACCAAAAATATGTATTACTTCATTTGATAATGACCAATGTGAACATTTAGGAATAAATTTCATAAATTTATTTGACATGTCTCCTATAGTGATCTGGAGATCATTGAGGTCTCTAATCAATGGATAAAAACTGGTTAAAAATGTTACCAGACAGCTGCTTTCTTATTTATCAATCAGAGCTTCGTCCACCAATCTAACTGCTAAGGGACTTTATTTATATTTTTAAATTTATTTTTATTTAAAGAAAGACAAAACAAAACAGAAAGCAGGCATAAATAGTACATACATTCAAAGTAAAGAATAAACAGTAATAAGTCACTAGTTTGTGTGTTTTATTGTCCTCTTTCAAATAATTGTTCAAGATACAAAAGTGGACCATATAAATGGGAATTCAAACAGGGAGACTTCAAGTAGTTCTGTTCAACTATCTAATAAAAACTAAGTAATATGGCAGTCAATCCTATACACTTAATCATGTATGTATTTATCCATATCTTCATTTATGTTGAGTTTAAACAAAGCAAAGCAGATTAAAATCACTCTAGTTGAAGATTAATAGTATTGCTTGATTTCACATCATGACACGATGGAACCAGCACTGGGTACTGTAGGCCCCTTTTTTCTCCTTCAAAGTATTTGTTCATTTCATCATGTATCATAAAATCAGTTCTTCTAAATTATTGATAGGTTTTATGGAAGCATGCATCTTAACATGTGTTACTATCCTTTCTATATTAGAGGGAGAAACAGAACAAAGCAGGACAGAGCAAAACATAATCCTAGAGATACATAAAACTAAAAAGACATTTAAAACTGCTGTACAAGGACTTCTACCTTGGTTACTGTGTTGTCTCTTGTTATCATCAATAAAAATGGCTATATCATCGGATAAAGTATAATTGAATATATCACTGCATAACAGTATTAACAGAAATAGAACTTTGTAGATAGTGTAGAGCTACTAAAACAGATATTAATCAAGTTAGAATGGGTATTATAGAGAGTCATTTCTATTTTCAGTATAATTGTCTACACTCTGACGATACTATCAACCTAACGGTTTTGAATAAATAGTCAATAACAAGAAGCAATCAAACAAATCAGATTTAAATAAATTCAGCAATGATATAACAGTATAAGTTATAGAGGAATCTGGTTTAAGTTAACAGGAAATTGAAGATGATTAATGTGGTATATCCTGATATTTTTGGGATAGCTGTCTGTGCCCTCAGATTTAGTGCTTGTATAAAAACTGGGATGGAATAACTTCTATCTAAACAGAGTGGTACAAGTAATATGGGTTTTAATTCCTGATACACTTATAGCAATATCTTCTTCTGTCTTTTTAAAGTCTATTCTTCCCCTTCCCTCCCCCAGGATGTACTGTGTATTTTTGGGTCTCCCCAACACCCTTGCCTTTATATTGTGTGGGCAACCTGCTATTTATCTAAGTGTTTCTGAACTTTCTCACTCCAGGACTTGATCTCTAGTTATATTTCTTTACTTATTAAAGCCTTTCTTTCCAACCTACCCATAAATACTGGTCCAGTTGCCCCTATTACTCTCTCATTCCCTATCACATCGAGTTCTATGTTATCATATTCAATTTTGGTCCAAATACCCTTCTTCAGGTCAATTATACTTCCTATAAAGAGCATCTCAGTTGGCCCTATTTCTTGATCCACTCTGCCTGTGATTCTCTCTTTTTTTCCTTAATTTAGTGTATATAGGACATCTGCATTAGAAATTATATCGAACCTTCTGTCTCATTTCTGTTGTTCTATTTTTCTGTCATCAGTTGTCTATTTGTCTTCTTCACTTTGTTCATTTTGTTAATTGGCTCTAAATACGCTGTAATTTTTTCATTCTCTTGAATGGCTTCACACTGTCTTGATATGATTGATTCTATAGTATACGAAGTTATACTCAAACAATTCAAGGAAAGAGGCACTATGGTGACTACTATTATGTTAGATTATCTGGTGGTAAAACAAAATGATGCTTTAATTGTTCTGTTCTGACCTGTGTTCTTCTATTACAATGTCTCTTCTATCTCGATCTCCACACTTTTTTTAAAAAAAATTCTATTTTTTAAAGGAAAACTAAATTAAAAAATTGAGGGATATATTATAGTAACTGTTTTGTTTTCCTATTAACCTGATTTTTAACCCCAGTATTGCTCTCCCCGTCTTGTTCTGCCTGATTTTACTATATTCTATTTTGTTTGATAGTATCACGTTTGAGGGTATAGGCAACCACGTTGTAGGCAATAAGATTTACTATGATGCCCATTATGGTTTGACTATTATCCTCTTTTGAAATCCTATAAGGTCTTCAGTGTAGATTTTATTGGTCTTGTTCTGTACTGTTTTGATCAATTCTATTATACCTGATGATATAGCAATTCTTTTTAAAAATAGCAAAAGGCACAATGGTAAACATTTTTGATCAGCTGATATTCTATTTTTGCATCAAGTACTATGCCCATCAGTATGTTCTAACCAACTCTGTTTTGTTAACTCACTTGAGGTTTTATTCTCTTCAAAAAAAGTAATAAGAAATATGGGAGTAAAAAAACCTCAAAAGTGTAATTGTTATTGTGAAGAAGACAGGAAAGGAAGGTGGTCTAAGAGATATAAGCGCCTGTTTAAGTGTGTAGGGAGAAAAACATATTACTGAGCTTTGTTGGATCATTGAACGGAACTCTCTGCAATCACACTGTAGGAATGTTTACTTTATATGCTTTAATTTTATAATTTGAACAATTGTTTTGAAGAAGACAATATGTAACCTATTAACTAGTGATTTCTTACTGTATTTTTTTCTTGAAATTGTGCATGATTTGTACCCTTTACTGCTTTGTTTCTTATGTTCTTTTTTTCTCTTTAAAAAAATTAAACTGGAATTTATATCTTTTATTTATTTTTTGGTACTGGGGATCAAACGGATTACTTTACACTTGCCAGGCAGGAACTTAAGCCACTGAGCTAAATCCCCAGCCACCCAATATATATCTTTCACATCTTATCATCTTCAGAGAAGTGGCCTCTCTACTCTTGGACTTGATGCCAGCAAGCATAAAAAATGTGAATAAAATCAGTCAAGGCCAAATAACATTCAAACAAACCAGCTTCCAATAAGATCAGTCGTAGTAAGACAATGTAAGTAATACAGGGTTTCAGTTTCAGTTAATAGGAAATTAAGGACAGTTACCATCATGGTATAATCTGCTATTTTTGGGTTACATCTTTGTGCCCTCAAATCTATTATGAGTACACAGACCAGAACAAAATATAATCAAAATAAACAGAGCAACAGAACTACTATAGCTTTTAAATCCTGATACACTTTTAACAATGTCCTCTGCCTTCTTTTTTTAGGCAATTCCTCACCTTTCTCCTTCTCAGGATACTATTATTCACTGTTCAGAGTATATTAGTTTAGTCTCTTATGTTCAGTTTCAGCATACATTAAAATAAAGACATCTACTACGAAGAGAATGAGACACATTATGGTAATCATCAACTTCCCCAAAATCAGTCTTGAAGATCAAAAAAGCCTGCATCATCCTGTAATTATTTGATTAGTTCTATAATGTTAAGTATATATTCAATGCTTGTGAAGATGGGAACAACTATTTGGAAAAAAACTAGCAACAGTAAGATAGACAATGAACATCTCAGTGGACTTGCTTTGAAACCTGTGTTTCCTTAACTTGTTTCCTTATGAACTGTTCTGTTTTGTTTTGTCATGTTTAATCTTACGATCTTTAAGATAAAAAACAAGTTTGTAGAACATATAAGCATATTAATATTTTTTTGTTGGATCACTGAGGTAAAATGTTCGCAGTGTCATTATTTGAGTATCACATTCTATGCTTAATTTTGTAACTTGAACAATTACTTCTAAGATGACAATATGTAACAAATCAACTAGTGACTTCTTATTGTTTATTTTTCAGAAATTCTGTATTATTTCTATACATTTTTGGTTTTTTTTAATAAAAATAATTCACCAAAAATATAAAATTAAGTTTTAAAGACAAAATATTAAGTACATAGACACTATCCATACTTGAAAGTGAAAAGCCTATTTCATTTACCATGTTTAATTACAAGATGCCATGTTGAAGCACAAAGACACATTAAAAAATAAAGAGGTATAAGTGATTAACTGAAAACCATACAAAATGTGTACTTGAGTAGAGCTCCACTTCAGATTTGTTGTTTCTGGAAAATTTGTGAAGAAATATTGACATCAAACTTCTGTATTGATTATTTCTTCAGGTCTTCTTGGAACTTTTAAAGTAAACTTAGATTTAACTGTCTGAAGAGTGCTGCTTCTTCTATGTATTTAACAATAAACATGGATTGCCGTATTTCTCACACTGTTAATACACATAGGATCCAGTGAGCTCTTTCAGATATGTAACAGTGATCAGGTGTGCTGAGTATTCACATAACATATAGGATTTATCTCTTGTGTGATTTTCTTCATGTATTTCACTTACAATCTGGCTGCTGAAAATGTCTCCACTTGCTTACGTAGCCATCCCAATGTGAACTGTTTCATGTGCTTTCCAATGACTGTATGTGTTAAAAGCTTTGCCACATTGTTATATGCATAGGGTTTCTCACCAGTGTGGAGTCATTGATGTATTTTACAAAATCCATGTGTGGTGAAAGCTTTCCCACATTCTTCACATAAACAGGGTTTCTCAACAGTGTAAATTTTTTCATTTATTGGACAATGAGCATTTCTGCTGAAACCTTTCCCAAATTCAGTACATATATAAGATTTATGCCGAGTGTGAAGCTTTTCATGCATTATGCAATATGTACTTGTGCTCAAAAAATTCTCATGATGCTTATATACACTGGTTTTAACTTGAGTGTGAACTTTCATGTTGCTTACAATGTCCATGTTGGGTAAAAGCTTTCATATATAGGCTTTACATATATAGGGTTTCTCTCCAGTGTGAACTCTTTCATGTTGCTTACAATGTCTATATAGGGTAAAAGCTTTCCCACATTTCTTACATACATATGGTTTCTGGTCACTGTGAATTCTTTCATGTTCCTTACACTGTCGATGTGTGTTAAAAGCTTTCCCACATTGCTTACATACATAGGGTTTCTCTCCAGTGTGAATTCTTTCATGTTCCTTACAATATCTATGTGTGGTAAAAGCTTTCCCACATTGCTTACATACATACGGTTTCTCTCCAGTGTGAATTCTTTCATGTCTTTTACAATCTGCCTGTGTGTTAAAAGCTTTCCCACATTGCTTACATATATAGGGTTTCTCTCCAGTGTGAATTCTTTCATGTCGCTTACAATGTCTATGTCGGGTAAAAGCTTTCCCACATTGCTTACATGCATATGGTTTCTCACCAGTGTGAATTCTTTCATGTTCCTTACACTGTCTGTATCTGTTAAAACCTTTCCCACATTGCTTACATACATAGGGTTTCTCTCCAGTGTGAATTCTTTCATGCTTCTTAAAATATCCCCGTGTGTTAAAAGCTTTCCCACATTGCTTACATACATACGGTTTCTCTCCAGTGTGAATTATTTCATGTTGCTTACAATTTCCATATTGGGTAAAACCTTTCCCACAATGCTCACATACATATGGTTTCTCTCCAGTGTGAATTCTTTCATGTTGCTCACAAGCTCCATGTTGGGTAAAACCTTTCCCACATTGCTTACATACATAGGGTTTCTCTGCAGTGTGAATTCTTCCATGTATTTTACAATTTGCCCGTGTGTTAAAAGCTTTCCCACATTTCTTACATACATATGGTTTCACTCCAGTGTGAATTATTTCATGTCGCTTACAATGTCCAGATTTGGTGAACCCTTTTCCACATTGCTGACATACATAGGATTTCTCCCCACTGCCATATTTTTCATGGATCTGAACATTGTGGTGTGTTTCTGCTTCTTTCACATTCACATTACCGTCTGCAGTACAAAGGAATACTTCTCTACACTGATTCCAAGATGTATGTCCATAGGATTGCCCTAGCTTGTCATTTCTGTCAAAAAAAATCACATATCAGATTGATAACCATATTACTAAGTTTTTATTGGAGATTTGAACAAAATTTTTTGCAGTCTCGCTGTTTGAATCCCCACTTCATATGCTTCACTTTTGTATTTCATTATTTCTATGAGCAGCATATGTAATCATTGTCTTTAGATTTCTGTTTATTTTCACTTTGAAAGTGGTATCATTTCTACTTACTTTGTTTTTTTTTACACTTTCCTTACATGAAATAAAAAAATAAGAAACATTCATAGTGAAATGGGTCTCAGTTTAAGGACTGCATTAATGTCAAGTTTTGTTTTTAATGCCTGCTAAGAAATTCTAACCATGAAATAACAGAATGGCCTTGTAAGACATGTTGAAAACAACCATTCCCAAAAGAATGCTACACATTTGGAAAACTTAAAATTTGATACCTTTTGAAATGCAGAATCCTTATCTTGACTTTGGGCATGGGTACATATGTGTATCACATACAGATCATTCTGATATGTTTGCCCATCACAATCTCCCTTCTGTCCTTAACCTGTAGTTCCCTTTTCCATATGGTCAGTCTTACTTTTCTCTATTAACACTTTCATTTCATTCCACAATTTATATTTTGGTTTCTCATCTAAAAGAAACCCTGTGAACTTTTAGATTTTATAGCTGAGCTATTTCACCAAATTGTTGGGAGAAAAAACCACCTATTTCTTATGGCAAATGACATTATATAATGTATTTTTGTCATTATATAACACATTTTTTTCTTTTCCATGGTGGGAATGAACAACAGCTTTTAGCATAAAATCTATAGCTTTTTAAATCTGTTTTAAGACATTTTCACTGATAATTAAGCTGTGAAGTTTGAACTTGAATTTGCCATTCTGCAAAATCTGATTTCTTGTGTGCTGGATTTATAGGTATGCACAGTCAGAGAGTCTATTAATATTTTCCTTCTCCACAAATCCAGTGATAGATAGCTAAGCTTTTTAAAGGCCTGATCTATTATAACTTGATCTGATTTGTATATGAGCAAGCATGTATCAGTATTTTAAGTGCATTTTGAATTTTTAAAATATATCCAGAACAAGTATGAGGGGATCAATTTCTAGAGACAACTGCACACTGATATTCAGAATGAGTGCACTTAACATTCTAGCAGCCTTCTAAGAATTTTAGTCAGAATGGCTGATTCTTCAGAGCATGGCTTGGAAACACAAGAACTCCGTTTTATTTCAAATTCTATTGCAATCTTAGCAATTTTTAGATGATGAATGTGTTGTATTCACATGTATATATGGGTAGAAAAACTGAAGAGAGAATGTCATAACTCAAAGTGTATGCCTTTCATACACATCTATATGCAATGTCATACATTTTCTTGATTTAATCCACTCATTATACATACCCTAGCTTATACGTCTTCAGAGAATATTACTGACAATAAATTGAATGGTGCCTCATTTCTTTGGCGGCATTTTTCTGCTGACTCACTAATTACTCAGGAACATTCCTTCTTCTTATGAGTGCAAATTACCTTAAGTATCTCCAGTAAATTTTGCATTCTTTTTCAGCTTCCTGGATATCCCCAAGTCCTCCTGAATTGTAGATATAGAAATACCAGTGCTCATTAGAATAATACATACAAATTAATAGATTTTGTTTAGAGTTATGATATAATGTGTCCAGGTCTGAGCTATTTTTAAAAATATTTTCACATTGTTTTTAATGAAACAGCACTGATGCGTGACATACAACATTCTGACAGCATGAGTGACAAAAGTATTTTGTCCTTACCTATTGCAGTCATGTTCCTAAAGATTTCGCCCATCACATCTCTGTAGAGGTTCTTTTGGGATGGACTCAGCAAAGTCCACTCCTCATTGCTGAAGTTCACGACCACATCCTCAAAGGTCACCACCTCCTAAAGGATCGATCATACATATATTTCTCACACGAAGGTTGAGACACCAGGTTTGGGATATCTTAAATTCTCTCCTACAAATCTGAATCAAAAGCAAAGTGTGGTGATATATATCTATAATTCCAGCACTCAAAATGCTGAGGCAGGATGGTTTCAGTGAGTTCAGGGCAATTCTAGCCTCCATAGGGTGTTCAAATCCAGCTGATATACATACAGAAAGCTTGTCTCAATAAAACAAAACAAAACTAAACAAATACAACCAAACAAAACAGCTGAATGAAGACTGATTTCTTCAAATTTAAATCATGTCTTGGTCATTAATTTTGTGTATATACACATTTTTGAAGACAGCAAATTTGATGATAGATTGCAACTCACTGCTAATGTAAGAGTGAAATAGGAGCACTGATTCTTGTGCTGAGTCACTGTAATAGTCCCTGTGTTCTGTCTCTAATGCAGAGCTCACAGTGAAAAGCCTGTAGGACCAGCATCCACAAAGCACAGAGGCAGATAAATATCCCATCAATCAACTGGGAAGCCAAGCAAGCACCACTTCTCCCTGGTAAGCAGTGGTGGTCTGGCAGAATGTGGCCCTTCCAGGGGGAGAAACAGCAGCAGCTCCTGAGACCCACACCATGTGGGATCTTAGGATGCTGTGAAACCAAACAACTGGCCTGTCTCCCTACTAAGCAATAGTGAACCTACAAATGCACTGCCTAGAATCAAACATCCCACTTCCCTACCCCTCTTCTCCTGTCACCCCCCGTTAGCAAATGGGAAACAGAAATCTGAGAGTCTCCTGGGAAGCAGACCATAACAAATAAGGGGGATTTCCTTCTACTATCTCTTTGAAGGCAAATATATTTGTTGCTGTTTTGCTCTATTCTGAGTAATGGTATTGCTCTATTCAATACTTTTTGATAAGTACTATAATGTTCTGTATTTCATCTCATTTTGATATATGTGTTTGAAAGAACAACTATTGGGGCTGGGATTTAGCTCTGCGGCATAACCACCTGCCTCGCAAGCACAGTCATAGATTCGATCCTCGGTACCGATAAAAAGGAAAAAAAAAAAAAAACAAAAGAAAGAACAACTATTATAAAGATAATAAAGTATACTGTGATACCTATTACTGTTATCGCAGTAACCAGTTGTAAAGTTGTGTACCAATTTCACTATATGATCTTAGTTGGCCTTATTCTGCCTTGTTCTGTTATATTTTACCACTTTCAAAATTTAAAAAAAGAAAAAAAAATCTCATCAATCACTGTGATAGGCTGCAGATAATGTCTCTTCTAATCTCATTTAGGCCAGTGAGTACTTTGTTCTTAATATACTTCAGCAGCATTTTGAAACATGAATTTGGTTGCATAGAACAAAACATAAATAACATCCAATATGGTACGCAAATAATAAATGTTAGTGGAAAATGCTGTTTCTAAAAAATAACTATATAAAATGGAAACAGGCCCAAGGTGTAATTTATAGCTCACTCTCACCAAGCATTCACTATCAATTCAGATATAAGGAATATATCTTGTGAGGCTGGTGAAGGACTTCTTCCTTGAATTTGGGGCTATCCTAAGTTACATAGCTGTCTAACATAGAGAAACCCTGACTGTGAAACCCCACAGACAAAGTGAAACTTGAAAAGAGACTGCATAAGACACCTTTGATTTGTTTTTAAAAATTATACCCATACAATATGGAAAAATTCCAAAAATATTCAACACTTTCTGAGAAACAATGTGGATATCTGCCATACAACAAAGAAAACACTTTCATAGTTGGGTATTTAGCTCAGTGGCATGAACACCTGCCTGGAAAGCATAGGTCATGAGTTCGATTCTTGGTACAAAAAAAATCCACATTTTACCTTCATAGCACTGGGGCATAATTAGAGATTATCAAAATTAGATCTCAAGTGTGGAATAGAAAATGCATGGGTTGACAAGGATGTGAAACACTGATTTTTGCCAGAGCTGGTGTTGATCACATCAAGGAAGCAATCAGAACCCAACTTTAACTTCACACTTACTCTAAGAACTACCTGAATTTCAGTGAAGACCCTCTCTGTTGTATGTCCTGCTATTGGCTTCCTGCATTCTGTCAGTCACTTGCACATCCTTTCCACGCTCCTCTGATCCATGCAATGTTCATCTATATTTGTATCCTACATTACATATAAAAGAGTATTAAGTCATCCATTTCCACTCACCTATTCAAGAAAATACCAACTATTTATTCTTAAGTGAATTGAACAGGAGAGAAGTAATACTGAATGGAACACTATAAATAATGCAGTGGAAAATGAAAGGGAAAAACCCACATGCATCCCTCCCAGGATGAGAGGTCTGCCATTGACCAGCTCCTCTCTCCTGTCCTCACTTAATGTGCAGGCCTGTGTCTCTTCACTGCTGGGTGGAGAGAGAACCAGGACACAAGCTCTCTTCAATCTCAGGAAAGATCAGGGACATGGCCTACTTTCAGCATTTTCAGTGGCTGCCATTTATAAAAAACTCAGCAATTGTGCTGTGGAACATTCATGGTTTCTAACTGTCCACACCTTAACTGATTAAGAAGAGAATATGGTGTCTATCAAACTCATTTTTTAAAATGAACCTTAAAGTGGAATTTCCAGGTTAAATGTATATAAGATGAATTTGAGGATCGCAGATATTTCACCTGAAGCCTCAGCATAGAGCTAGAGCCTGGTATAGGAAGACTGAATCTGCTCAGATCTACGTGGAGATGTAAAGTCAGAGAGATGGTCCAGGCAGAGGTGCAGGACACCATGGCACCTAGCAGGAACCATGGCTAAAAAAGGCCCAGTCCAGGCTGCCTCATCCATCAGTGACTTCTAAGGAAAGCGTCACACATTCCACACTGGAAAGGAAGAAGCTGAAATGGTTCCAGAGCTCATTCCTACATGCCTGAGGCCCCCTGTCTCACTCAGGGGAGCTCTGTATGAGAAGGTCAGTCTGTTACAGAGCTCAAATTGACTGAATGTTTTCCACCCAGGTGCAGATCTGAACTGCCACATGTGGACTCACCATAGCTATGGAACAGGACAGGTGTTTACAGGGTGCAGGCGAGGTGATGGAGGCACTGCAGGCAGGTCAGGGTACAAAGCCTTAAATAAGAGACCAGGCCCTTACCAGGCCCAGTTTCCTCCAGCAGTAACCAAACCATGCAAGAGTGTGCATTAAAAACTGAGTAACTGAAAGGAGTTACTCACAAAATTATATATTATGGAGATAGTTTGAAGATACAAAAGTAAATGGTAACATCCATAAATAAAATGAGATGTGACCCTTAAAGGATATGTGGTGTCCATTGATGTCCCCAAACCACATGCATCAGAAGGAAACAGTCTGATGAACAGAGCAATAAGGAGCACAGGCAATGGGTAAACATCACAGCTGCTTAATAACAACAACAAAGCTAGGATACAATAAGTGCACTGGTGAATTTTATCCAGGATGTCGTAAAGAATGAATACTGATTGTTTTTCAATTCTCCCATCAAGTTGAAGAAAAAACCACCACCAACTTCTTTTAAGTGACAAGTCATCCTGAGAATGAAGCCAGAAAATAATGTGTTAAAAATAAAATAAATGAAAACGCTCTGTTGGCTAATATTCCTAACGAACATACACAAAAGTATTCAGCTAAATGTTTGCCACATTAACTCACCATCATATTCAAAATTAACCAACACGATCAACACTGGGCTCAATCTCAGTGGTGCAAGAATGTTCCCTCTCGCGCACAAACTAGTAAGTGTTGCTTCACACTTTCACAGCATAAGGTACAGCTAACCTCTGAAGAGATTTGGAAAGACAGCTTTGAGAACCTCAAAAGTTCACCATTTTTGCATGATATAAATCATTCATAGACTATCAGTAGGAGGAATGGACCTCAGCACAGCATGACAAGCTCCATCCTTGACATGGTGCTCAGGTGCTGACAAGCTGCAAGCTTAGCTTCTAGGGTCAGAAAGGAGACAAGGCTTGCAACTCTTTTCAACATACAGTACTCGAAGTCCTGGCCATAGAATTTAATCCAGAAAGAGAAAGCAAAGCCTTCCAAATCAGAAAGGAATAATTAATTGTTGTTACAGTTCTCCTGAGGGTGCAGCATTGTATATAAGAAATTTAAACTACATTGACAACCTTATAGAACAAATTCACAAATCACTTAAATTGCAGGATACATGAGCAACATGCTCTAATCAATTCATTACTACGTACTACAAACAAATTGTAGCGTCAAATACAAAGAACACAATTCATTTCACAAATAATCAAAAATAACTAATGATTAGGGAAATTGAAGCAAACTCACATCTTCTTGGAATGCAATAAGTAGAAGAGCACTAACAGAAGAAAAGCCATACTGTGATGAGGGATGGGAAGAATTCATGTTATAATGTACATGCTACTCAGAGCAACCAGGTGTTTCAGTGCCATTCCTGTCAAAGTATCCGTGCCATTTTCCTAGATACATAAAAAAATATGAAAATTCACAAGGAAGTACAAAGAGTCTTCCTATAGCCATAGAAAGAACATTAAAAGTAGAGGCATCAAAATACTAGTTTCCAGGTATTATAAAGTAACAGTAGTTAAAAGGGTTTTACACTGGAAGAAAAGGACCACAGACTAAAACAGCTTGCCCAGATGCACACCAAGTGACAAAATCACTAGGAATTTTGTTTCTTCTTTCCTTTCTTTTCTTCCCTATTTTTTCATTTTCATTTTATATTCAGGGTCTTGCTGTGTCATTGGAGCCTGAGCTGAACTCAGAATATGTTGCAGGCTTGTCTGGAACTCCAGGAACCCTGCTGCCTCAGCCACTTGAGTACAGGCATTACAGGCATTTTCACCATTCCTTGCTCAGCCAGTAAGTTTTTTTTTTTTTATTTAAAGAGAAAGACAAAAATAAATGAAGCAAGACAGTAAAAGGCTAGAAGCAACACAGAATTTCAGAGAAAAAAAC